GTACTCGTTTCTTAAAATAATCACCGAAAGCTCGCCAACATTGATGATGCCAAGAAACCCGTCTGCCGTGCCCCGAATACCTCGTGCGTCCCCTTCAAGTGGCGATGTCTCGTTCAAGATGGATCGTGTCAGGAGCTGGCATTTGAATCAGAATGTGTATTTATATTGGAGAAATCCGATGAGCTATGAAGTTTTCCGCCCCCCCCCCCACGCAGATGTCCGGCAAGGGACACGGGGTCAGAACGTTACAAACAGACAATACAAAAAAAACCACGATAGGAGTGCAAAATAAAGGTTAAACAAAGTATAAGTTTAACAAAATCACTTAAAACATACATACAAATAAAACTAAACTTTTTTTCATCAGACCAGGTAAAGTCCACTGTGCTATTAACTTGTTTTCCAGAAGCGACCTGGCCCACAAACGATTGCTCAGCACAAGTTGGCTTATCACGCGGAAGTTTTATTGCAGCAACATAACAGCGCAGAGAGACATGAAGGTGTGCTGCCCGAAAATAATGAGGAATGCACTTATCCCGTCACGTCACGTGAACACCCCACGGCATGCACGATGCACTCAGCCTTGGCGAACAGATCACTTTGTAACCCATCAAACGCTGATCTTTGCCCATCTGACAGCCATCCGAAGAGGCGTGGTCCATAAGAATAGGTTTTACCCTTTCTGGGCAATAAAACAGGTGTTAAGAGGTTCACATATCAAATGGATGCCCTTTGCAAGAAATCAGGTTTGTCCTTAATATAGTTTTTTTGGGGATTTGATCGCGTAAATATATAAATGTGTCGTTAAACCCGCCACCACCCGACACAGCCAACTAGTAAGGTTTGTCACGTAAACAGAACATGCCAATTCGTCACTAGTACAGCACACCGGTGTGTTGGAGAGCAAATCCACAACATTTACAATCTGAGTACGACGTTTATGGATGATATTGGTCGCGAAAGCCGACGTGTTAAAGTGATGCCAAGTTGGTCTCGGCGTGGCGAGTCCTCGACACCGCTCACCCAGCTCTTGAAGTGGTCTCTCCCTCCCCGTACTCCAACAATTGATAGAGCCCTCCTCGGGGAATGTGGCGTGTCGCCCCCGCCCCACCTCCAGCAGTAGAGACTGCACCCACACATCTCAGCACGGCACGCTCAGCCCTTGGTGCAGTACTCGCAGCTTCTGGGGCTGCACTGCTTGAGGCTATCGCAGCCCTGATTGTGGTAGCTCCATACTCGAGCAGTGGACCAGGCCCGCTTCAACCACTCGGTGTGGTAGCTCCACACTGCAGCAGTGGACCAGGCCCTCTTGACCCACTCGCTGTGGTTGCTCCACACTCAAGCAGTGGACCAGGTCCTCTTGCTGGTGGTTGATGGATGATGGCTGATGGATCGTGATGGGTGCTGGTGGTTCCCTGCCTTCCTGTTGTAGCCGGTAAAATAGCATAATTGGGCTTCCTCATACTCATTCTCATAAAACCGGTCTCACCAGCTATCACTGACATCAGAGGGCAGCCAGGGGTGTGATCCTCAACTTTCACCTCGTCACACTGGCCAAAAGGTCCCACGATAGATATGGTCCAGTTTACATAATTTTCAAGCGTGGTTATCATCTGCTTCTGTGATGCTAAACCAATGGTGGCGATTCTCCATCATCATCATCATCATCGGCCAGGATGAATGTACTACACTGGTAGATGAAGGGTCTAACCATGCCGTGTGGGTCGTGGGGGATCGTTTGGCCATGCTTCACCACGCTCGTCTGTCTTGGTGGGGTGGAGTGAGGTGTGGCAGTGTCGAGGCTGCCAGGATTAGTGCAGGCATCACAGTTGAATGTCCTTCCACCCACACCTCCGATGAGCACGGTTGGCTATGTACGGTGCGGCCACACAGTGAGAGTGCATCCACGCAGGCAGTGACTTAGTGCCAACACTTGTTCAAGCTCTGGGGTCCTCTCTATATAGCGAGGTGTTAGCGGCCAATCAATGAGCGTTTACATGCGAGGAGGAAACCGGAGCACCTGGAGAAAACCCACGCGTGCGAGGGTGAAACAATCGATCCCGGTGGAATGCCAGGCTCAGGCACCCTCAACGCCCATGGGAAGGGCGTTTCACAACATTGGCGCAATCCATGGGGCAGCCAACTGTTGGCTGCCCCATGGACCATTGACTATGCCCAGACGGACAACGCAGTGATGGATGAGAGGCCGCCACGTGCAGCGCCACCAAGAACCCGGCTATGGAGTAGCGGGGTGGTCAAAGTCATTCACCGAACCAGACGCAATGTCAGCCTTTTCACAGTTTATTATATTTTCTTTCATTACAAGTCTGCAATAAAAAAAACACTTATTCATCGGTTTAAGTGCAAAGGCATATTCATCCGTAATGTGCATCAGCTTCTTCCCTGCAGCGGAGACAGACGCCCCCCAAGCCAGTACTGTGAATACCACATCACCATTCCCTTCATTGGCTTCATCTTTTTTTTCCTCTATTTTACGTTTTAAATCAAGCAACGCAGGTGCGTTTACAATCGGAGTACGACGTTTCACCAGTAATTACAACTAGCTTCATCAGGCGACAGCCAGCTCTCTAACACGCCGGTGCGCTGTACAAGTAACGAATTGGCACGTTCTGTTTACGTGACAAACCTTACTAATTGGCCATGTCGGGTGGTGGCGGGTTTCACGACACATTTATATATTTACGCGATTAAACATAAAACTAACTCAGTTTAACACGTAGGCGTTCGTGACCAACATTAAAGAACAACAACCTGTTATGGATGATATTGGTCACGCAAGCCTACCACGTGGTGTTGAACTGACGGGTGCTGTGCTTGAGACACACACCAACGCAGTTCCTACTTCACCCCCCCCCCCCGCCGTCGTTCAAATCGCAGACACATTCGTGATCTATCGCCGCCAGTGGCGGGGGACGCGACAGAATGACGACACTTTAGAGGGCAGCAAGGAGACTGCCCGGAGCAAAGTATGCGAGGTTTTTTTTGTTATTTTTTTGTTATATATTTTTTTGTGGTTGAAGAGAAATCGTGGGAACGATCCGATCAATTGATCGACCAACTAAAAGGGGTGGGTATTTGTTATTTTTTTTCAACGAGCCACACCCCCCTCTCCCTCCTTGGCTGCCCCACGTATCATTGACTAACTCCAGATGCTCAAGGTGGAATTTTGGCGGTTGGCTCGGGATGGAGGGGGGGGGCTGCTGAGGCTCACTTGAGCAGGGGGAGAGGGATGCCCTGTAGCCGTCGGGAGAGTTTGTCACGGATTAGCACTCGCGATTCGATCTGGGCACGACGCCCCGATGCCAACCCCTTGTGCCGGCGACTTCACAACATTGAACTGCTCAGAGTTCTCAACCCCGTTCGGGTTCCTGAAGAAGCTCCCAGCGAGTGGAGCGAAACGTCGGGACACCATGCCGAGAGCAGCATGCGGTACAGCCCGAAGCCGCGTCACGGCACAAATGCCAAATCCGAAGCGGTAAGGCAAATTAAAGTTACACAAATGCATTAAATAAAATACAACAACAACAGAAACCAAAACACAGCTTTAAATATGTAAATTATATAATAAATGTTATAAATAAACCGGAGTAAGTAATGTCACTTTTTTTTTGGCTCGTGATCCTTGCCTGGTTTGCAGGAGGTCGTGGGTTTGATTCCGGACTCTGGCGATGCCGGTTGCATTTTTTGTGTTCTCTTTCTCTCTCTGCTCACCCCGAGCTATAAATGCTCTGATACGTGCATTGCCTTTGTGCTGTTCGTAATTTGGCGTTTTCCGGTCTGACACTGGTGGTGAGACTTGGCCATAAAGAAAGCTGCTTTCTCTGGTGTAGGCCAATCAGTTTCAAAGACAATGCATATAATAATCAGAGCATGTTTTGTTTGCATGTTTACCAAAAGTATGTGTGGTTAATGCAGACTTGATTCTTTGCTAAAGGAATATTTTTGTTGTTTGAACATCTAATCACAACTGTTTTATTGCCAGAAAGGGTAAACCTATTGATATTTTTCATACGTTGATACTGCCAAAAAGGGCTTTACCTGGTCAATAAAATAGTTCAGTTTTTTTTACTTTAATATTTTTGTCCTCTCACCAAAAGCAAACCCACCACGACCGTTGATTCTTCGGCATAAGTTAATGCGGACATAAAGTATATATTATCGCGAAGCAACTGACATTTCATGCAAAATAAGTTATGTAAACGTAAATATATAAACAGTAAACCAAATATTAAATCATAAATATTTCATTCGATCTCATTATATTGCAAGATAATGTGGAAGAGGAGGCCAATAATACCCTCTCAAGGGGCGCTTCTGGAGCTACTACCGATGAAGTCGCTTTCTGCCGGCAATTCTTTTGGGCGTGGGCATGACATCGCAAGGGGGATTGCACCGTCGCCTCTCAACAAATTCGATCTCTCGACGGTGTCCAGCATTCACGGCCCCCTCTTGTAACCAGGTGGAGAGAGAGCACCGCTGAGGCGCATCAACTCCTCGGATGAACTTTGCTGCAAGCGAGAAAGAGGGCCCACTTTTCGTAGGCGGGTGGGTGGGTGAGTTGGATCTCGTGAAGTTGGTGCGGTCGCTGAACGTAGCGAGCTGGCACACAACACGCCTTGGCTGGAACTTCAGGCAACAATGAGATATTATTTATTTGTTAATGTAAAAAATAAAGCGATTTTCTTTTTCCTATACTTTGCACTCCTATCGTGTTTTTCGCATTGTGTTTGCTGCTGCAATGCTCCTCGCCTGCCTCTGATATCTGTGAAAAAGACCTTCATGGCTCATCGGATTCCTCTAGTATTAATAAATATGATTTATAATGATGATTTGAAGGCCTCACTAATCCTTCAAAACTCTCTTTTCAATTTACCCCTTCCTAAAAAAGATTTTCAATGTAAATAAGGACGTTTTGGAACGCCAAGGGCAAGAGGAAACAAAAAAGAAAAGTGCTTCAAAAACATTTGGCCCCGCTTCGCCTCTACGTCACCCGGATTGCGTCGCCGAAATTCGACCACCGCGCGCGGGAACGCCGCTCCCTCGGGGAGGTTTAGCTTCGACTTCTCCTCGGATTCGCGTCCAGCCAGGCATGCAGGGCTTTCAACGCATGGCCGATATCGCCGTTGGCCGTGAAGATCTCTGCTTGTTCGCTCTGCAGATTGACGGCCTTGCCCCTCCGCGCCGAGAGCAGGACGTAGGTCTGGTGTTCAGTCGGATCGGGGCAAGGGCCTCCTCGCTCCTTCGGCAAGACGAATGACCAGGGCTTGTCGTCCGACATCATCTTCACCTTGAGGTGGTCCTTCCGTCCCTGCTTCCACACCTCCGCGAGGGCGTCAAAGCGGACGTGGTTACACTGCTCGCCGGGCAGCGGGGGTCGCAGGGTCCCGATGGTAGCTGTAAAAAATGAAAAAGGTAAAAAATGGGGTAAAGAAGGTGAAGCAGCAAGCATTTGCCAAGTGCCTGCTCAAGCCACTGGCTGAGGAATGGCCTCCTCAAGGAGCGTAAATCATCATCACGCGAACTCCGGTCATCATAAGCCATCGTCACGTGAACTAAAGTCATCATAAACCATCATCACACAAACTTCGGTCATCATAAACCATCATCGCACAACCTCCAGTCATAGTCCTCGCAGCAGCAGCAGCATCAGCGGCTTTTGGCTAAGCCATCGAAAAGAACGATCACCGCATCGCTGCGTGCTTTCAGATGCGCTTCTGCGGCCGTCTGGAAAACTCTTACTTTCAATGGTAGGAAACCACTGGGGCTATGCACTTTAAATCATCAAGATTGAAAACTCATTTCTTTAGAACTGCTTTTTGTGTTTGAAGTGCTGTCCTTCCCCCCGCGCCTCCGATTAGCACGGTTGGCTACGTACGGTACAAAAGGAGTTCAACATACATCGACTAGAAGGAGTCTAAAAGAGTTCATCTTGAGGGTAATTTGGCCTACCCTTGCACCCTGGCTAGAAGTCTGGCAAGACATGGAAATACCCGAATTCAACCCCAACACACGTGACCTGCTGGTCGGCTAATTGTTAAATTAGGCCTGGCCTTTTAAGTTTCCCTTTTTTAGTGTATCAGATTTTAACAAAAAATATATCATCCAATTTTAGATTTTATTTAATAATTTCGGATTTATATGTATTGCAATCCCCCATGTTTCGGAAGCTAAGCAGGTTCGAGCCTGGACAGCGCTGGGAAGGGTGACAATGATGCTTATACTGGTTGTGATTGGTGGCTCTGGGATGATGCTAGGTGGCATTAGGCAGAGGTCAGTACAGAAAAATACATTGTTGTGCACTACTTCTATCCTCCCACATCTCTACTCTCTGCCTTCACAAACCCGTACTCTTCCAGACCGGCCATGGCCCACACTGCATGGTGAATCTCTCATCCAGCAGTGGGTTGACAAAAGAAGCGCTTTTGCACGCACGGCGTACACATTTAGGATGTGCAAATCAATAGCGACCTCTTATCGGCGTGTGGCAAAGGGCAACATAAATTGCCCAATATAAATTGCCCTTTCCTTGACTGAATTGAAAGTTTGTCCACCGGCCTCGAAGCGAGGCGTAGGGCCAGGTTTTTTTTATTTGAAGCTTAACTTGTGGATATTTGTCACGAGTAGGGATTTCCCCATTTCCCCCCCACCACCACCCCCCCCTCAAAGTTCCCTTGCGGTTTGGTTTTGGTGGTGGTGGCGGCGGTGGTTGTTGTGCTTTACGAAGCGAAATTTGCGGTCCGCGTAAGTTAATACAAATAAAGTAAAGATGACGACATCCAGAGCTGCGGCGTCCGAGGCTGCGGGTAGCGTCGGATGACACTCACCGAATTTGTAGCGCTTGGAAGAGATGGCGTGGAGTGGCTGAATACCGTCGCCTGGAAATACATCAGAGAGCGAGCGAGAGAGATTTACAGTCAGCTACGCACGAAGCACCGTAAATATGGTCTGTGTATGTAATCCACGCATCACTGCATTGCGATAATGGCACAGACTGTTTACATAAATAAGCATAATCAATAATAATAATTGTACGTGACAAAAGGTATCCAATGAGCATATATTATCATTTCACGGTACATTAGGTGGAGGTGCGGGTACATTTGAATTTGTTGTGTGAAAACAAAGTAACTATGGCAGTTTAGGGTCTGAATCAGATGTATTTACATCGTCTGTTTTCAAAATTTGGAAAACCCTTTAGGTTCTGGCAAAATACAGGCTAGCATAATCACAGCAGCAACAGCTGTTGCCTGTTACGTGTTAAACGCGTTACTTTTAACTGGAACCCCTTCGTTACATTGTCATTTACCGTATTACTACGACTACGACGACTGCGTAGGATTTCGCGGTAGTTCAGCAACAGCCAGGAGCTTCTCTTACTGTGATACCGATGGAGCTTTCAGCTTTCAGTATCTGTGACGGACGACGGCACTGCCCGGATAGGCTGACGCAAGCGTGGTCGTTAATATTTCGAGAATTTTTTTTTTGCCGATTCTCAAAGGGGATTTTTTTTGTTGGCATGCTCCTTTTATTATCTGTGTACGTTCATACAATGTCCTTTTTGACAGCATACATTTAATTTAAATCAGAGTTAATAGCTCAATGTGGCCCCAGGTCCCTTGATATGTCGTTTACCTGCTTGGATTACCACGCGACATTCAGACAGGTAATCCGATGCGGATCTGAAAGTGAACACAAGAAAGCGAAATAAATAAGCAGGCAATAACATCTCCTTCACATACCCTATATCTCTCTGAACGCACGAAAAAAACAGCACACAATCGCCCCTACGGCCTTCTGGGAGTGTAACGTCTCCGCAGCATTGACTCAGCACAAGCAGCAAACTGTGGACCGGCTTCGACACACAGCGTCTCACCAGCCTCCTTCAATCAATGCTGGCGAACTGCCAGACGTTTCAGTAAGGACTCTCTCTCTCTCTCTTTTCAGCCGAATTAAGTATTTAGGATTATTTTTTTCATCAGCCAGGACAGTCACATGTGTGCAAAACGAACGATAAATGCCATTGTGCGTTCCTTAATGTCGTATGATATATCGTAAATACGTCGCTATATCGTGGCAATACCTCGCTGATCTCGTCAAGGAGCATAAACCATAACAGCGAACTCCGGTCAACCTCGCAGCAGTGGCGGCATTTGGCTGCTAGCCATCGAACAAAGGCCGTCTGGAACGTTCTTCCTTCCGACAGTAGGAAGGCACTGGAGCTATGCATTTGTAAATCATCCAGATGGAAAACGAATTTCTTCCGAACTGTTTTTGTGTGTGTTTAGTTTGTTGTCCTTCCGCCTGCACCGCCGATTAGCATGGTCGGCTACGTATGGTACAATAGAAGTTCAACATACATATACGAGAAGGACTCCATGAGAGTTCTTCTATTTTGGCCTGCTCTATCACGCTGGCCAGGCCACCTTTGGAGATAATGGGAGCACCCGAAATTGACCCCAGCTCCCGGTCGGCTACGTACGGCGCGAAATAAGTTCACCATACGTACGGCGAAGCCCACCCAAAGTGTACATTCCCATACCTGCTGCACAACGCGCCATCGTAGCAACCGTACTTCTCCTTGGCGTAGATCATGTCATTGCAGCAGATTTCACTCTTCGTGGAGTACGACTTCGTTCCGCAACAGGACTTGGCACCATCGCTTAGGTGAACTTTGCCGTAGCACCCCACGGGTTCACTGGCAAATGTGCCTGAGAGGAGCGGGGGGGGGGGAGAGTTGGAGGGGGTTTGCAGGCGGGAGATCACAACGTTGCAATGTTATAGGAGGGCACCACATTTCTGATGAAGCTCATACCTGCCAACCCCTTATCAGTGCCCTACCTTATTACAGACCAATTCAGACCTTATTGGTCACCCCGTGGCCCTTATACATCTCAACGTTCATCCTACAAAGTCCCATCACAAGGGAGAAACACAAACAGACAAAAAATAGTTTTTTTGCTGCCCGTATTGAAACGGCTGTACACCACATTGACCTGAAAACTCAATTTCCCTGTACAGGAGGAATACGTGGTAAACCCTGTGGGTTGACACGGTACGGAGACTCAACCACAACGCTTTCGGAGCTCCCCCTCCCCTCCCCTCCACCAGCCCGGCCCACTTTAACATGACCAACCCTTTTTTTTTTTACCTGAAGACGGTTGCTTGTGTTGCGATCGAAACGTCGTGATTATTAAAAATGATTTTTCTATCTACGTGACTTTGGGGCCGTCCATAAATGATGTCACACGATTTTGGACGATTTTTGACCCCCCCCCCTCCTTCGTCACACGACGTCACAAAAAGTCAGACCCCCCCCCTCAAATATGACGTCACAAAGCTCTGCCCCCCACCCCCCCAAAAAAACCACGCTTCAAATCGCTTTAAACTATTGTCATTGTAGTGCGTATTTAATGTGGCGCTGCACTCTGATGTTGTAGGAGAAAACATTTATCATAAATTATATTTAATCAAGTAGAACATGTCGTCTATATTTACTTAAACTTGCGAATTTTTTTATGTGACGTCACATTTCTCACCCCCCCCCCTCGTCACAAATCGTCACAAATGTCTGACTCCGCTCCCCCCAGGTGCGTGACGTCATTTATGGACGGCCCCTTTACCGAAAGACCCAGGGCATGACCAAGTCCACGAGACTACAAGACCCCGGCCCACCGCGCGTAGCCCCGCCCACTGCCAGGGTAGCCTATCAAAACCGTGCATATTTACTGGAATAAACGTCTAACGGTACCAGATAGGCATCTGTGAACAGACATCTTCACGGCTCATCGGATTCGTCCAGCATAGACACATATTGTGATTCAGATCCCGGGCTTTAAACTGAGACAAAGCTCCTGAACCGTCACGCGGGGAGACGTGGAGACGGACTTTCTCAGATCGGGACTTACCAGCCCACGTGGGCATTTGGTCGCCGGTCAGTTCTGTGAACGGCCTCGATGCGCGACGTCATCCCACACATTTAAAAAAAAATTGTTGAAGCCCTTTCCTAACGTGTTGCGACATCGTCATGGTGTCACGCGTGTTAATCTGCGACAGCTTGATTTTAAAATTGCATCCTCTTTTTTTTACCTATCTCTTTCAACGGGCACGTCCTGCACACATCCTGTGCGCATCGCTTTTGTTACTGTAACACGGAGTAGACTTTCGCGGCCAATTTCATCCGTAATCTTGTTTTTTTTGGGGGGGGGAGGGGATCGCGTAAATATAAATATGTTGTTAAACCCCCAAATCTGTCTGTCCGCCTGATGATGCTCGTTGTTATTATTGGCGAAACGTCGTACTCAGATTGTAAATATTGTGGCTTGGCTCTCCATCACACCGGTGTGCTGTACTAGTACACTACACTATACACTACTATACACTACACTATACACTACTATACACTACACTACACACTAGTCCTGTACTAGTGCCGAACTGGTACGGTCTGTTTACGTGAAACACCTTACTAGTTGGTTGTGTCGGGTGGTGGCGGGTTTAACGACACATTTATATATTTACGCGATCTAACCAAAAAAAACTATGTTATGGATCATTTTTGTTGTTGTTGTTGTCAATTCCACTGCTGGATGACAGCCTTCACATCCCGTGCAGGTGGGTCATAGCGGTTTATGTGGAGCATACTTCACCACGCTGGTCAGTGACGCTTTGAAGAAGGCTTGGGGACAGCAGAGTACATTTATAAATATTTTTGCTGTAATTCTCTCCTACTGACAATGTAGCCTCGCAGCCAGCCCATAGCCACCTGACTTTTTTTGGGTTTTTTTTAACACCCGTAGTGGTCACCCATCCAAGCCCTATCCAAGCTCAGGGTGACAGGGGCGGTATTTGACCGCTACTGGCGTTAGCCGGCGCCGGGGATTGAACTCGGGTGTCGCTGGGTTGCCTCGCGTCGCGCGCTAACCACTGGACCGCCCCTTCGCCCACCACGTGCGCATTCATGAATGAAGCCATCATTGTGGAAATGGCAACGACATTCCACTTGAATTTCCTGTGCGCTGAACGCACAGATTCTTTATAAGGTTGCAACAACGAACGGTACAAGAAAAGACGATGGGAGTGCAAAGTATGAGAAAGGTAAGAAAATCACGAAAAAATGCATCAGTACACAAATTCAGAAGCTTGGGCAAAGGCAGCAGAACACAGCAATAGCGGTGCTAGCACACACCAAGACGACACGCAGTCCCTGAATAATATCTCACGTTACATTTGTGATTATCGATACGTGAGCAAGGTAGGTTGCGGGAAGGCATTTCACGATAAAGTGTTTTTTTTATAACTGTGAAAACTAAAATGTTGATCGCACGTGTCCGCCCGTATTTCTCGCCGGAGGCCTTATGCTAAATCTGTTCACGCCCAGTAATTTACCGACAATATTTCACGGACATATTCGTGCACAGCATGAACTTCTGTGAGACTTGCCTGATGCAATCTTGATTTGAAGCTTTCGTGATTGCAGGAGTCCATACTCTTTGGTTCTTTCGGTAAAGTCACGTAGGTAGAAATTAAATTAAATAAATCACGACGTTTCGACCGCTTGTGTTGCGATCGAAACGTCGTGATTTGTTTCACTTTATTTCTAACTACGCGACTTTACCGAAAGAACCAAAGAGTATAGTTTGCCTGATGCACTTTCTATAATTGAACAATCGGTATACATACGGAGCGGTGGTGCAATGGTTAGCGCATTGATTTTATGAACCGTCACCCGATAGACGGGTCGCGTGCGTTGGGTAGAAGTGTGGGCACTCCCTGTCTCTTCCTAGTAGTTTGGCCAGTGTGGAAGAGTAGACCAAAATACTTTGTGCGGCAAGTAATCTAAAAAATAGACCCCATCACGTTGTTCAACTACAGTTGCAGAAACGAATTTAACAAACACTCACCCATGCACGCACGTACGCACGCATCGGTCCGCCAAGAGTTTACTTTCTTACTCGGCAATTTCAAACGTGAGCGGCTTCTCGTTCAAATAAACCCAGAGAGTGCACGAAAATTGTTTGCACACAATCAATACAAAGGTACTCAACGATTACAACGATCACAAAATACGCAAAGCGAACCTATCACCATCCTGAACAGCAAAAACACAAGGTAGACTTAATATTTGTTGCAATAGAGTACACAAGGAAGATGTCTATTCTACGATAAAACGTCTAGAGTATTGTATCTGTTGCGCGTGTGTTTCCATAGCAAGATATGTTGGTCTGCTGATGACAGAATACATGTGATGAACACAACCGCCCAGAGGAAATAGAGCGAGACACAGGCCATGCAAGTGGCAAAGACGTGGAGGCGATGGTTCATGGACAAGGAGTGAGTGAAGAAAGAGGGCCCCACGAGTAGAGCGGGGAATAGTCTTAGGTTTTTTCGGTAAAGTCACGTAGGTAAAAAAACCATAATAATAAAATGAATAGTAATAAATGAAAATAACTCAATTAAATCACGACGTTTCTGTATTATTGATACAGTAAATTTAGCTGTGACGGTCCCACCTGAAGACGGAGACTTGTGTTGCCTCCGAAACGTCGTGATTTAATTGAGTTTTTTTTTTTACCAACGTGACTTTACCGAAAAAACCTAAGAGTATGAATCCTTGCAGTCACGAAAGCTTCAAATCTCGAATGGAGAGGGGGAATACCAGAACGAGAAAGAAAAAAAGCCACCGGCATGAATTGACTCACCGTGGAGAAGTTGGAGAAACAAGCAGAGCGCCAGGAACAAACGCATCTTAAGTCTTCGGCCGAGCAGAAATAATCACGGCTCACCTCCTGTGCAGCGCGTTTTATATACACGGGGCAACACGTGGGGCGGCCTGCTGGGGCCTTGGGGTGGTGACGACTTCAGGAGATGCCATTGGGGCTTTGCTCTTGCGACTGTGCCGAGGGACTTTCCTCGAGGTGGAGGTTGCAGCCCGCACGTAACACCCAACGAAAGGCGATGACGACGACGATAATGCGATGTGGCGAAAACGGTATATAAACAAATAAAAAGTTACATATATAAAAAAAACTACACTTCACGCCGATGCTTGCGAGCCAATAGACGCGCACGCTGAGTCGCGGCGAGAGGTGGGGGGCAGATTTTTCGAGGAGGGAATTCCCCGTCGTTCTAAGGCGTTTGTACGCGAAGACTTGTTAGCGAAATGTTTCACCAGCGGCTTGGCAAAATAAACAGTAGTGCCGATACCGGTATATCGTGCGATGGATACATGTGAATATGCTCATTCATTTTAAATTAACTTTTACAAAGGTACTTCATCAGCTGAACTTAAGCGATTGACAAATGGGTACATTTTATATATACACACACACATATATATCGTGGCGTTTACTTGTCACGAAGATAAAAACTTAAAGAAGGTCAAGTTCAAAGTAAACCCGTGTGCTTTTATATGGATTCATCAATCCATTAATATGTTTCTACACATACACATTACATCCGCTCGTTTATTTAATAACAAACATATCAGCGAGTGGGGCTTACGCAGAACACATCACATCTCCGGTGTTGTCAAGTTCACGCACGGGACTGATGACGCACCCGATATGACCCAACAATGCTGTAGCTATAGAGCAGGTCATCATCAGAACACTCTCATCAGCGAGATGGAGTGTGGCATCACAAGATCGTCGCGGTTGGTGATTGCCTGGGAATGCTTCCATTAAGCAGTGGATCGAACATGGCTCATGATCTTCTTGGTTCTTTCGGTAAAGTCACGTAGAATGGAAATAATAAAAATAAAACATAATTAAATAATTCTCACGACGTTTCGGCCACAACGCAAGCAGCCGTCCTCAGGTGAAGAACAGGTTGGTCGATAAGACAGTCAGCCGATAAGACAGAGTCAGCCGAAACGTCGTGAGAATAATTTTATTATGTTTTATTTTTATTATTTTATTATTTCCATTCTACGTGACTTTACCGAAAGAACCAAGAAGATCATGAGCCATGTTCGATCCACTGCTTAATGGAAGCATTCCCACGCAATCACCAACCGCGACGATCTTGTGATGCCACACTCCATCTCGCTGATGAGAGTGTTCTGATGATGACCTGCTCTATAGCTACAGCATTGTTGGGTCATATCGGGTGCGTCATCAGTCACAAAAGCTTTAAATCGAAATTATGGCTCATGACCATGATGCTTGCTGACCTGCCCCGACTGGACATCAGTGAACAAGAGCTTCACAGCTCATCGGGTTCCTACAGCGGTCTAAATAAAGATTTTGAGGAGCAGCTTATGCTCTGCTGTAATCATTTTCTAGTTGATAAAATGGGCACCACTTTGAGGCAACCAATTAGTGCGCATCGCCTGGTGATCCCTACCATAGTAATGTGGAATTTCCACTATTTTCGCAGGGCCAGCCAAAAATGCACGGGCACGTCTTCATCGTCCGTCTGAGCCGGGAGACACTTCGAGTTTGTCTCTCCGCTCAAACGTTCGTACCACACAGAGGTCAAATATTTCTTATCCTGGCGTGGGGAACTGTTTCCTTTCGGAGGGCGGAATTTGACACGTACAAACCTTTTCTTGGTTCTTTCGGTAACGTGACTTTACCGAAAGAACCAAGAAGATGAATCCCTGCAGTCACGAAAGCTTTAAATCGAAACATCGGTATAACTACGAAGACAAAGATCCCCCGTGTAGCCTTGAAAGACCGTTGGGGCAAGTGCTGTTAGCGAGCACCTTTGAAGGCCGGCACGGCACACGAGGCTGGTTGGCAGCACAACCCCCTGCCGCCTTTGTCTTCCTCGTGGCGATGTTTTTACGCACCGCACCAGGTACTCAATTGAGGCTAAGACGACCTAGAGGAGGCCCATGACCGGTTCAGATATTCGTCACTGGTGTTGGCCCGTGAGCAGGAATCGAAATCTGGCTGCCGGGTTCCTATAACTTTGTACGCATCGGCAGACGCATCAGTCACTGAAAAGGTGCCGTGAACATTTACAGCAAATTGTTGCTGCTAGTGAAAAGTATTCATCTCCAGTACCTGAATATTGGCAGCTAAGATGTGAAGTGATGGATAAACGCCGTTTATAGCTCATTAGTTTCGTGTGGCCCCGGGCTTTATGAATGAAGTCACCTGCTGAAAGTGAACCCTGGGCACTAAGTAACCCATTGTATGCTCCTCGTGTTATGTTTCATACTCGACTTTAGGTATGTGTATCAACGTGAAACCGAATACGCCCTCATTGTATGATGTAGCTGTAAATACACGACTTTGCTTGCACGATACATTGTAACTTCGATTTTTATTTTGGAAAAGCCACCGTCAATGTCACGGCGATGATGGGCGTCACGGTGGTGAGATGTTAACTACCTCGCCTGGTATACAGGAGGTCGTGGGTTCGATCGCGACCCTGACGCCTGCTGCTGTATATTTGGAGTTTGCATGTTCACCTTGTGGCCGCGTGGATTTTTCTCCGGGTCCTCCGGTTTTTCCCTTCACATTTCGAATCGTGCGTTTAGAGTATTTGGCTGCTATAAATTCCCACGTGATGATGATAAGCCACTTCGTGGAGCTATCATTTGTGGCCAGGTAGCTTCTGAAAAATGAGCTTCATAGCTCAGTGGGCCTTATCTGATAAAATCAAATCATAGTTTGTCATTTGAGAGTGATGGCGATTGCAAAAAGACTGATACAATGTCGTCTGGAAGACGGGGGGCATAATATTTCTTTCCAGCCGGTCTTAAATAATAGGGCCACGGTTTTTGTTAATTGACTCTTTGGAGCCGGTGGTCTAAAACAGCGCTGCGTGCATTGGTGCACACACGGCGTGGTGCCCGTCACGTGACGTGCCACCCAGCCAGACGAAGACCGTTGGTGCCACGTCGCGCGTTTGCTGGGAATGCGCAACTGGCGGACTGATCAGGTGGTCAACAATCGCAGCTTTTCCCCTTTGAGAAATTACCGTTTTTCCTCGGATGTAGTGATATTAGTCGGGCATGCCCAGGCGTGCCTGGGGAAGTCATTTTTGGCCGCCGGTCGAGGTTTTCCCCTTGTTACGTAATCGAGTCAGAATTGTGGTAGGGCGGGGTCGGGGTGGCAGCGTCCCCCATTTGCTCCAGATATCGAAAGAAACATGGGTGAGTGTCAAGACAGCCGTTATGGCTGCCAGTTGGTGCGAAATTCAGACCTCCCCAGGAACCGTGGCTGACGCAAGGAGGTTTTTCAGGTTCGTTCAATGCAAGCGGCAGACCCACTCCCACGTCTACACTCTAATATGCCACCTCCAAAGACGAGGAAGGTGCGGTCAAGGGATGGTTCTCTATTGGTCAACCATGTTATGTATGCGTATGATCTGGTATTTGCCTCCTACTCTGAGAAGGAGATGCAGATTCCACTGCTGAACCTGGAGCATGCTACTAAGAGATAGTGCCTTACCATCAGCCCCACAACAACAAAGCACCCGCCTGGGTATTTTATGTCATCTAAGCTCCCCTCCCTCAACTCCCCTTGTGCGATGGGGCAGTTGTGGAGAGAGTGGAGAAGTTTCTGTACTTGGGCAGAGTATTCATGACCAGCTCCGGTTTGGCAGCCGAGTTTTCATGCCGAATCAGTCGAGCGGCACTATCTTTTCATCAGCTGCGTAACGCTGTGTGGAAGCTACGTGACCCGTCGCTCCATACAGTTATGACCTCCCTTCTCTATGTTTGCAAAACGTGGAGCCCTCTAAATTAGCATATGCGCCAATTTGAAAGATTAATCGAACTAGATTGTGTGAGGAGTTCACTTATCCTTGAAAGATCTGGACAGAGTCCCATCAGTGAGCTCCTCCGGCATGGGAGGCTGCACTGGCTGGGTCATTTAGCCCGCATGTCCAGCCACCACATGCCCAAAACAGCTTCTATTCGGCCGGATAGATGGAGCTAAATATGCACGGCACAGGCGAGAGAACAGATGGACTGATGTCGTACAGAAGGATGTAGAGTTGATTGGACTGGTACCAGCGGTGTCAAGATCTGCCTCTGTGGAGGAGGTTCGTGAAGAACGCGTTTGGGGAGTTGGAAGCAGTCGCACTCCAGCAATAACGGAGGGCAAATGAGTGACGCTCACAACAACCAGTGGATTGCCGGACGGCTAAAACGCAGAGATTTGGCATAGTGGGGAGCAGAGTTGGTGCATCTGCGAGCCATCTCAGTCAATCCAGGGCATATGAGTCTGTTCCGTGATCTCCTGCCACTGAGCCTTCGACACTCCACGCAGCCTCTAAGTGCACCTAGCCTGGTACAAGCGCCGTGCTGACGTCACCACCACAGAGCGGTGGATGTTGGCTGTCATGGTTAGGGACTTGCCCTCGATATCAATGGGTTGCCCACGTCTTGGCGACTAAACCAGCGACAATGATAGGTCGTAAGCCTTTTCGGACAACGCATTGTGCGACCTCCGCCGAGACCACGGAGTCGGTCAGCAACAAAAACTCGGGAGAGTTAAGAGCACGTTAACCTCGCTGTCTTGCGTTATGCGCTCCCCATACCCCCCTCCCCACCGAGCCGAGAGGCGGCTTTGGGCCACGGCGGTGCGGGAACTCCGCTCATCTGCTCGAAGCTGCCCCGAGAGCAGGCGAACCGAACGGGTCGGTCACGCGCTCGCTCCCCAAACGCCTTGCGCGCCCGTGCAGATCGATCACGATCTCATTCACGTGCAGTAAATGCGCAACGCACGTTAAGGCACCCGGTTAAACCAATAACGCCACTCACGCCTTACAGAATCTGAATATAATAATAGGGGTTTCCCCCTTTTTTCTGGTAACAAAACTGAAACCTTTTTACAAGAAATAAT